TATTCAATTTGAAGTTAACCCACATTAGCCCATGGTTAAATTTATGAAAGTCTGTGTAAGTTAGAACACAATTTTTGTTTATTTTTCTCAGAGCAATATGTAAAAGATAACAATATTTAACTACAAACATACAAACAATTTTAGTATTATACTAAGGATTGTACTTGAAGTTACAATGTAATGGAAATAATAACTTATCATATTACAGGTCTCAACACTATCATGTTGGCCCCTATTCAGAGACTGTGCAGCATACGCAATTAGTGTAGCAGCAGTTCTCGCTGTAATATATGACAACCAAGTTTACTGGTAAGCTTGAAAATTATTCTTATATAAAAATTACAGAGATTTTTATGACATTCTAATGCTTTAGTAACATTTTCTTTCAGAAGTGTTATTTCAGTCCCTTCGTCTGCCACTTCCACACCATATTCCAACAGGTCTGTGAGAGTTAACCTCATCACAATTGCTGATTCAGTTCTCACTAGTTCACAATTTCTTTTTAGTAACTTCACAGTCTCCTTTTTCCTCTCACCAGTGACTGGAGACCACCACTTTTCCTTCTCCCCACTGGCTGCCTATTCAGAAAGTTTCCCAACTTCTGTTGTCCACTAAAGCCACAACCATTGAATTTTTCTTCTGCTGGGTTACTGCTTACCTTGCCTTGGTTAGAAGCGGTCATGGTCACGGAAGACTGGAGAAGGATGGTAGAGCATGTAAAAGAAGTCATTTAAAATTCCTCCAAACTTCTGATGCTCATTCAGGAGAAACTACAGACTTCTAAGAACTAACAATGCTCAGCTTTTAATATTAAAAATTGTTTGCTTTCTCTATGATCTCCCTGTGACTAGCTGGTCCAAGAAAATGAAAAAGGGGGTGACTGAGTAGACAAAGACAAACTTTTTCAACTAGTAAGCAGCAGGCACCTACTAGGTGCTAGATATAAGGGATAATGAAACGTAAAACACAGCTACACAGGTTAAACATTGCATAGCTTCCAGATGACACTGGAAAAATAGAAAAAAATGTGGCCGGACACAGTGGCTCATGTCTGTAATCCCAGCACTTTGGGAGGCCAAGGTGGGCAGATCACGAGGTCAGGAGTTTGAGACCAGCCTGGCCAACATGCTGAAACCTCATCTCTACTAAAAACACACACAAAAAAACTAGTTGGGTGTGGTGGCACACTCCTGTAATCCCAGCTACTTGGGAGGCTGAGGCTGGAGGATCCCTTAACCCCGGGAAGTGGAGGTTGCAGTGAGCCAAGATTGCACCATTGCACTCCACCCTAGGTAACAGGGCGAGACTCTGTCTCAAAAAAAAAAAAAAAAAAAGTAAATAGTGCCCAACTGGAGAACCACAACTTTGCAGCACTGCATAAAACCTGCTATCAAGAAACTTAAAACCCAGCCAGAAGCATAATTTCTAAACTAATCATCTTGTCATCTAGTCTGTCTTCCTAAGACAGACTGTGTTGGTAGAGTAGAAATCCTTCTAGAATTCAGCAGTCATCTGTAAGGGACAGTGACTGTGAGAGCACCCAAGCTAATGCTCCCTCAATTAGGGAAATCAGAACTGCTCCTTAAGATGTAGCAGAGATTTACTGGCTATGAAAATAAAAGGTAAATGCAAGGTTCAAATGTGATGGCTTTTGCTAATTGCCAGAGTACAGAGAAACAGTTCTTGGTTCCCAAGGTATAATTTTATATTTTAGAACATCTTGTTTTCTTGTGACTGTAAACCAACTTCACCTACATTAAAATTACTAAAACTGAAAAATCTCAGCCAAAGTCTCCCATATTCTGAATAATATTTTACACAAAGTTCCTATACCAGAAAACTTGGACAGTTAAAATGGCTTAAAGTATTTGGGGGAATGCATTGTGCCAATGAGGTGAGGTAGAGAGAATGTTCACCACTATTCACTAATTTTACACTTGTTTTGAAAATCTCCAATTATCATTTTCATTGCATTTTAACCTACCATTTGAAAGGTATCTACAGGTAAAAACAATGAGTTTGTTGATCTTGTGGTTTTTGTTTTTGTTTTAAACATAGAAGTGTCCAGTTTTTATCAGTAAACTTACAATAATGCTGTAACCAAGTCTGGACAAATCTACAAAAAAATATCTAGAAGTAATACTGTAACTAAGTTTGGAAAATCTACAAAAAAAATCTAGAAATTTTTTATTGTTCTGTGGCTACTTTTGTTAGAAAATTATTCAATAGATACTGCTCAAAAGCTATCAGTACCAAAATGACTTTCATTTTTAATTTAAAAACACAAATTTCTCTTCTTTAATTTACAGGTATGAAGGAACTTTACTGCTTTTGATATATGGATTATATGTTTTGGTGCTGTGTTTTGACATTAAAATTAACGAATATATTTTAAAGAAATGCAGTCCTTGCTGCACTTGTCTTGCCAAAGCTATGGAGAGAAGTGAACAGCAGCCACTGATGGGATGGGAAGATGAAGGTCAACCATTCATTCGTCGGCAATCAAGAACTGATAGTGGAATATTTTATGAAGACTCTGGCTACTCTCAGCTCTCTATAAGTTTACATGGTCTTAGTCAGGTTTCTGAAGGTAATCACTAAATCCTGCCCATTATTAAGACTATTCACAAAAGCAGAACTTTAAAATTTCAATTCAGCAGCTATTGTGTGCTTTTTATGTAAGACTGTAAGACTCAGAAATGATAAAGACTAAGTCCCTACTCTTAAGCAACTTCCAATATCTTAGGAAATACAAAATAGCTAAGTACCATAAAAAAAATACAGTGTGACTGTGGTTCACAAATGGGACAGATTATCAAAATGTGGTGAGGACAGTTAGATAGGAAATTTTCACAGGGAAGGGAACATTTAAATTGGGCCTTGCTGGACCAGTAAGATTTTGACTAATGACATGATGTTACAACCAGTAAATAACAGCTACTGATGCAGAGATATGAGTAAAGCACATATAGCACAGTATATGTATAATAAGGAAACAGAGGAAAGGTAGAAAGAAAGACAGGATGAGAAGAATCTTAAATGCTATTGTAAGAATCTTGGAAGGTTTGTGAGGAAATTATCAGAACTGTTATCTTAGTAATGTTACCCTGAGTGATGTTCATATTCAGTGAACTAAAATATGAAGTAAGAGACAAGGAGGTGTGTAAGAGGCTATTACAACAGCTGATATGTTTACTAGGTGCCTAGTCCAAGTGAAAGTGATAGGAATAAAAGAGAACAGATGTGAAACTATATGAAGGAATCATCACCAAGACTTGGCAACTGAGACTAACCAAGATAGCTCCTACGTTCGAATCTTGACTAAGAAAATGGGAACACCACTTATTAAAACTGGGAACTCAGGAAAAGGGGCTGGTTTGGAAACATGAAGAAAAACAATTGGTTTACTGTTTAAAGCAGTAGCAAAACATTTAGGTAAATAATATGTTCATTAGGAAGTCAAATTCAGCTATGATCAGAATTATAAGTTCATAGGTTACTATTTTATAAAGTGGTTGTCTAAAACAGATTCTAATTTTAATCAAGCCTTTAGGAGGGTAGCTTATTCTAATTTACTACTTAAAAAATTGAAATGACTTTTCCCCCTTCTTACAAAAATTTTAGCTTCTGCTCTTTCAGGTATGACAGGTGTGCATCTCTAAATTAAGTTTTTAATAAGAAACGCAAAGGAACCAATCCAAACTCTTTGATATAATAAAATTATATCTAATATTACTTAATGGCACATTGGTTGAAGTTTGGCAAACTTTTTAAGAGTTGCTGTACTAGCATTAGTTTTAACATGATTTGATCCAATTTGTAAGTGCCATACAAATTTTAAATTTTTAAATTAAATTCCCATTTTTATCCAATATATTATCATTATCCTTATCTTTCACTAAATTAAGAAACATACTCAGTTTTCATAAACTATATTGTAGATGATGTACTAGCTCCTACTTTAAGGTTCTTTCTATGAACTTCAGAAAAGTCTGAATAAATAAAATAGTAATGAAACAGGACAGAAAAACCACTTCCAATAAGAATTAGGATATGCAACTTAATAAAAAAGATGATGCTATAATTATGTTATATTCTCTGAGTACACATTATCTGGTACATAGGGCAGGCAGAGGCATCATCAGTATTGTGAAGCAGAGACAACTGGAGTAGCCAGGTTAGTAGCCAGGTTAATCCCCTAAGCAAAAAGTTACTGAAGACAATCTACATGAGATGTCCAATTGACACTTCATGAATACTATCTGTAATATATTTAGGGAATGGCCCAAGACATTTTGATAAATTTAAGGCCCCAAATAAAGAAATGCTGAGTGTCACATCTCATACTGTCTGCCCTAAAGTTTCAATTAGTTTCTTTTCACCAGCAATGTCAGTAATGAGTACTCAAATGTTTTAAATAGCCTTTTAAAAACTGACACAGCCAATTTATTTCAATATAGCATTCTAAGTAGACATTTCTAACTTAATTAGCAATTGAGAAAACTCAAAAGTGTTTAATTTTTCCAAAACAGATCAACCAAGTGTTTTCAACATGCCTGAAGCAGACTTAAAAAGGATTTTCTGGGTATTATCCCTTCCTATTATCACATTACTTTTTCTAACCACACCAGATTGTAGAAGAAAGTTTTGGAAAAACTACTTTGTGATAACCTTTTTCATGTCTGCACTATGGATATCTGCATTTACATATATCCTGGTCTGGATGGTCACAATAACTGGTATGTATTTTAAGTACAATAGGACAATTTGAAAATAATTTCATATAAGAACAAATTGCTTATGTTCACTCAAAGTAGTCTAGCTACACAGCAAATTTCTTTTCAGCAAGGCTGAAGATCAGTATCATTTATGAAATGATTAAGTATTACTATAACAAGATCATTTGGGTTTGTGAGTTGTGTATTATATATAAACTGTATTTTCCACTGTTATTCAGCCTGGGGTACAATTCAAGAAATCATCTTGTAAATGAAGTCAGATTCATAGAATGTCTTTTTATTATGCTAATAATTTAATCACATTCCATGGGGCTTGCAATAAACTCTTTATATCCAATTCCATTACATAAGAAAAAAAAAAAAAAACAGAGCAAGGAGCTCTATTAATTTTGGGGAAAACAATGTGTGTTCACTGCTAAAGTAGATTATATTTTATTTGTTTTTTTCAGCATGGCAACACGAACATACTATGAAATGAGTGAAAAGGGTATAAGATAAAGTGTAATTCTAGGTTTCTACTGCCTTCATGATTAAGACTTAACTACTGCTTCTTGGCCATTATCCACTATAGTCCCCAAAGAAAAAACTATCAACAAAGACAAAAATAATCTGTAATTTCTCCTACAAAGGTTAACCTGAATTGACTGATAGCAGAGGTGAACAAACTACTGCCAGTGTGCCAAAATAACCCAGCTTATTTTTATTCATAAAGTTTTACATATGATCTATGATTGCTTTCACACTACATTGGAAAAGCTGAATAAATGCAACAGAAACCACGCAGCCTGCAAACCCTAAATAATTACTATCTGGCCCCTCACAGACACAAAAATTTGTTGACTCTTGACTTTTCCCAAATTAATGTAAGTATTAGAATATTATGCTAGCAAAAAGCAGACTATTTCTTTTTTTAATGAGAAAAATGAAAAAGTCCAATTAGCTTGCATATTATATCTATCCAAATTCACTCAGCCAGAACACATTTGATATTAGGAAAATTAAGAGAGAGCAAAAATCATGTAATAGATCACAGAACAGCCCCCAAGATGATAAATACTAGTGTTTTTTATGCACATATGAATTCTAGCAAAGCCAGTAACAGAAATTAACAACCAATTCCAATTCCAGTATCAATATATAAGCATGCAATAAATAAGCTTTCTAATTAAGTTATTTTCATTGGCATTTTAAGCAATAAAGAGATATAAAGAAAAAGATATTAAACCAAGTTTTCAATTACAACATTAAAAGAACAGTTACATATCCTTTTTTAAAAAAAATCTTCTCTCTGGTTCTGTTTCTGAGAATAAATACAGTTTTGAAAAACGTTGACCTAACATCAAATTTAACAGAAGTATTAATAAATTGGGACCATAGGTTAGACTCAAGTAGAAAACAAACAGGTTTTGTTTTCCTCAGAGTTTAATAAACTTCTCCTCCCTCAAAAAAATCGCTAAATTAAGGTCTACCACTAAAGTAGAATGCAATAAATGGTACATATGTGTTAACACATTTATAGCTTAAAGATAGCTATAATTAATTTGCTTAACTCTAATTTAAGAAAAAATTTTAAGAATGGAAATGAGGAATGATCAGTCTCATTAGCAAATATTCAGCACAGCCCTGATGAAGATAATGGTGGACATAAATATCTTCTGTAATAATATCAAACAAAAATTTCTCATTGGCAGAATTTTGGCTGTTACATATCTTTAGATATGTCATTTAAAAATCTGTGCTAACTGGGTTACCCAAATTAACAACCTGATTCAAATATTTTGCTAGCTAAAAAACTAAGCAAGCACATATTGGCTCTGAATTCTAAATGTGCCTATTTTATTTTTGTTCAGGAAGGAAATATCAAAAATAACTGCAAAGAATAGTTAGTGAATCTGTAAGATTTGTAACTTGAAATATCTGTTTATTACAGGGGAAACACTAGAAATTCCAGATACAGTAATGGGCCTTACTTTATTAGCAGCAGGAACAAGCATACCAGACACAATTGCAAGTGTGTTGGTTGCAAGAAAAGGTAAGAACTAGATCCCTCAAGCTGCGATGGTCATTCTACAAGCCTGGAATGAGTAAAAGTAGCTTTAAAAATATTTACTTTCTCAGCAACATACTTTGAAGGGAAAAAAAAGTGACTCAAGGAAATGTTTACTATTTAATAGCAAGTTAATTTCACTCAATCTAATCCCCGAAATAATATTCATTTGAAATGTGCATTAAATAATAATTAACCATGTTAAATTACAATAAAAAGCAACAAGTAAGCTATACACCTTATTGAAAAATGGTTTAATAAATATAATTATTAAATAAATGTTAAGACTTTAAATACTAACTCAAGAAAAATTTTAAAATACAAATTCATTAAGACATTTATTCTAACAACAATTTTTCAAAATGAATCAACAACAAAAAAAGTATCCAGTGTTTCTTTTCTTATGAAGATTATTAATAAAATACAGTATTGGTAAGCACATTTTAACAATATGCTTTTCTTCTGTAGGGAAAGGAGATATGGCTATGTCTAACATCGTGGGATCCAATGTGTTTGATATGTTGTGCCTTGGTATTCCATGGTTTATTAAAACTGCATTTATAAATGGATCAGCTCCTGTAGAAGTAAACAGCAGAGGACTAACTTATATAACCATCTCTCTCAACATTTCAATTATTTTTCTTTTTTTAGCAGTTCACTTTAATGATTGGAAACTAGACAGAAAGTTGGGAGTAGTCTGCCTATTATCATACTTGGGGCTTGCTACATTATCAGTTCTATATGAACTTGGAATTATTGGAAATAATAAAATAAGGGGCTGCGGAGATTGATATTATTCATAGTGTTATGCAGAAAATGTGAATGGCAGGTAGGGGCAGAGACAAAAATTTATTTCTTCATTTAAATCAAACTTTAAAAATCCTGAACTTTAGAATCTAAAACTTACAGTAATTTAAAACCAACCAAAATCACATCCTAATTTTTCTGAGACCTTTCTTTTCATCAACAAATACATATTATAAAACAGAAGTTTTGGGGGGGGAAAATCTATGTTTTACTCTACAATAAGTTGATAAAAACTGGAGAAACTAGAGCAAACAAATCCCACTATGTAGTACTGAAAACAACAAGAAAATGGCTTATTTCATTAAAAACAGTATAACCATTCATTTAAACTGAATGACCAGACTTGCTGTCTTTAAAAACCCAAACTTGAGATTAACAAAAATTACAGTATATTTTTAACATTATACTGTTAAAAGCTGGTGGGAGTTTTAAAAGTTCATTTTTACAGCTTTTGTAAGCATACAATATTACTTTAAAAAATGACTTTTACTAGGAGATTCAGCAAAACAGATGTAGGAATGTTCCAACCATGGCTTGAAATTATGCATTACGATCCAAGCGAACATCAATTTCTCTGCCACTGATTTTTATGCCATTCATTATCCTGCAGGCCTTTTCAGCTGATTCTGGGGAGTCAAATCTGACTGTTCCACAGCCTTTTGACTTTCCATTCTCCATTTTTATTTCTGCAAACATTACATGGCCTGTAAAATAAAAGTTACAGAATTACTAGTCAGTTTAAATGAGTTCTAGTTCACTTTATAGGTTTGAAATTTCTCATAGACAACTGTGATAATTTATTAAAAACATTAACATTAATGCATTAAAATAAGCATTACATTCAGAATAAAATAAAGTAATAAATATATACATATTAGAAAACACAAAATTGGAATCAGGAGAGATTTTCTTAGGATTTAATGTATTTTATTTATGTTAAATCACTAATTCTTGAAGTGAATTTTTTAAGCAGTAAGTCAAGCTAGCACAAAATGCCACCAACTCACCACACCCTATGACAAACTTACTCATTTAAAAAAATTATTTTTAGAATAAATGGTTGGTTACTGACCAGTCTCCCTAATGTGTCTTCCTTCTCTTTTATCCTCATTTCACTCCTTCATCCCTTGCAAACAAGTGCAACTGATCAGAAATCTAATTTCTATCAGGCTACAAAGGGCCACACTAATTCTGTTTTGCAACCACAGTGCAAATTCAGTATCACGATTTGAACTGAAAGTCTAAGAATGGCACTAAATATGCTATGGAAAGAGTCATGGGAAGAGATAGCATAGATTTAAATCAATAAAGGTAAAAACAGTGATGTCAAGAGAATCTTGGAGAAGCTTCAGGAAAGAGGAGGAAAACCAGAAACCTGTACTTATGCAGTTGTAATATCATTGCTAACTCTAGAGACTGGTATTTGAAGTAAATCAATACCATTTATCAAAATACAAAGTAGCCATAGAATTCCTCACTGGACTAGAACACTTTTGAGAGTAAAAGGGGGAGTTATCAAAAATTACACGTAAGTAACAGATGTAAAGTGAGACTATCCCCAGGCAACTGGAATACATGGTCACTCAATCCAAACAGGTCATAAATTTAGGGTGTGACTACTTACCATAATATTTCCCTCCCCACTAGATGTACATGTCAAAACAAATCAAGCTAGAAGACTTTAAATATTATAGTTGCCAGATCACTATGGACTAATTTTAGTCTGGCAACCAAATCAGACAGCCAGACATATTTAGTTCTATAAAGGGAGGGAGGAAGGGAAAAAGAAGGGAAAAGGGAAAAGCAAGGGGGCCTGTCAAAAAATTGCATAGGCTCTTTCCAGATAAGATCAAATTTTAACATTAATGCATAAAGAAGGTTTTTTTTCTGTTGAAATCTTGATCTGAATGATCTCTTACCTATAATATCCTGGACTACTTCACACTTTCACTTTTTCATCCACTCCCTATTACTGCACTTATTTTTTAAAACCAACTGGTAGTCAACTGCTCACCTACTAAACACTAATTAAGTGGTCTAAGATAATAAATGTCATGCTGAAACAAAACCAGTATCTTGTTACACAGGCCAGGTAGTCTTTAAACGTGTTCTGAGAAGTTATAAAATAGGCTAGAAGTTATAAAATCTTCAGATAAATTGCATGATAATGGTTAAAGTAGATCCAAATAATATTTAGCCCACAACTGGAATGAAATGGGGGAAAATAAGCACAACACAGCAATCACACTTTCTAATAAACATCATAAAATGAAACTGAAAAACACATTAAATAAAAAAACTTTGAAGATAAATGCAGCACAATTTCCAGAGTCCTCTTAATATCCTAAATGCTGGTACCTGAAAAAAAGCAAGTTTAATTAAAGAAGCATACCTTGGTAAATGGCAGCACCTTACAGTTATTTGGAAAAGAACTGTGGAGATTTTTGAGGGATTTTAAGGTTAAAGTTTCTTCCTTATCCTAATTTTACCTAAAAGTGTAGTTTCTCTTACGTATCCCATCATAAGTTTATTAGCAATAGTAAATAAAGTTCACCTAAGCAAGAAATCTTCTTCAAAAAACTCAAAGGAAAATATGTCACTATTTCTTGCATAATCTGTCTCTCAATCTTTCAGGACAGTTTTTCTTTTTTGTTTTTCTCTTAAATTGTCTCTTTCAGTTCAGAAATCAGCACTCAGACCTCCAAATTCCTGAACTCACAATGACCTCAAAAATTCTCTAGTTGACAAGGTCCCTCAGCTACGATACTTGAACTTTCTTACAGTTCTGATGCTCAAGCTATATGGACAGTAGCCATAGATATTTATTTTATGGAGAGACTGCTCCTCTAAAAAGAATCCTAGCAGGATGGAACCAGAAACAGTTGTAAATTTTCTGAGTTTCTTCCTGATCCTATAAAAACACCAACTGAATTTTCTTTTCTAAAGACAAATAACAGGAGGGAAAAAAAATATTTTCTAATAGCTGATGCTCTGAGGACCCTCAACTGAGTTAAATATCTACTAATGTTGTATGAGTCCAAGAAAACAAAAACAGGACTGCTATTTTAGCAACAGCACAGGAAAAATGAGAAATTATTATCACAGAATAATCAAACATATTGCTGCTGTTACATATACTAGTAATAAAAAGGATTTATCAGTAAAAAGAAACCTTTCTGTCTTATTTAACCCAGCCTATTAACATCTTGTGGGGTATATATTGGGATATGCTGGTATAAAAACATATATAAAAATAAAACAAATTTTAAAATGTTCAATAAAATCTACTGCCTACGTGAAGCTGTAACACAACCATTAATGAAAAAAGGAAAATCAGACATTCTACCATAAGAAAACATAATAAGGATATAAGGGATATAAAAGCAAAGTTTTCCAATGTTTCTTTACTAACAAAAGATAGTGCCTATCAATGAATGTTCATCATATGTCATTTGTAATATTACTGCATTTTTACTGTTAAATGATTCTAGAGTTAAAGTCCTCTCATCATGCTTGAAGCAGCAAGTACTTTAATAAAAAAACTACCATAAGCCTCCATTTTCCATGCAGTTAACAAGTATACTAATGTAGAAATACTACATAATGGAAATCTGTGGAACAAAATTATATCTGTTTATATGGCTTAAAGCAAGAATAACTGAGAATGGGTTTTCCTTGTGTTGCAGTGCTAAAATGTTATATTCTTGCATCATACTGAGCCAGAAGGCCAGAATGCAGCTAAAGTATACAGATGACATGGGAGCACGTTTAAAAGACTATGTCCATTTGACCCTGTTAGCACAAGCTGAAATGAGGTGGTGTCCAATACTAAATAGGTTAATTCATTTATACTCAGCCTTTTTGAAAATGCCTATGTCTGAGAAATAACACAGGGCAAGAAAAAAAAAGAAAGATCTCTTTTGCTACAGGAAAGATGTGTATCTTACCAGCCTGGGGTCAAAAACATTACCTTTAGGGGCTTGATGGAATTAGAAAATAGCAGTTATGTTTCACTTATTTCTCATCTTATTATATTTGGAAAGATCTGAAAACAATTTTTTCAGAATTACAAAGGCCAATACAATGTTGTATTGAGAGCAATATAACCCATAATATAACATTTACTCAGCTTTTGTAATTGCTCCATCAACAACAGTTAATCACTAGAGATAATTTACAAGCAGAGGGGCTTCCCAGGCACCTTTTACTGACAGATATTGTTTAGGGGAGATGTATTGAGTAATACTAGATTCTTATTAAGAAGCAAGCAAGAGAATATACTTACTCTCTTTGGGCTTAGAAGAAAAACAACAACAATAAAAGTCTGCCTTTTACTGCCCAAGAGGCCATTACTAGCTTGCAGCATGTTAAAAAGAAATGTCCCCATACTAAGAAAAAAGATTTATAAATAAATGACATGGCAGAAAAATGGATGGTTCAGTTCATACTAGCTAGATAATTTGTATAGTTGTCAATATCTGGACACTTAATTCTATACTATTATAACTTTATTTTCTTTCCCATCAATATAGTTCAAGGTTAAAAATAAGGGAGATATAGAGAATTGTATAAATATAGTGTTACCTTAAACTGAAATCTAAGAGTCAGAAACTTTTACAAAAGAATTGATAAAATAAAAATCATTAATCTTAAAATAGAATTATGACCAAAAAAGGATTATAAGAATAGAGCCAAAATAGCAAAGAATAATAATTTAACCATTATTTTATATAGCTAAAATACTGTAAAAATTTTCTACACAAATTTAAATGGTTTTTCCTTTCAAAAAAATGTCTTGCAATAGCTGATGTCCTCATGTCAAAACAACGCCACTCCGACCAGAGGCCCACCAAAAATTTCAAATTTGCTGCAAGCCTTGCTCATATCTAACCTCAAAAGATATGAGCCTACAAAGAATAAGGAACAGGCAGCTCAACATTGGTCACCTATTCATTGTCGTTTATTTGTCCTGCTTTGCTCTTTACCTTGCTAAGTTTCACTTCTACTTTTAATATAATGTCATACCTCATTTGGAGATTTTTATTTTCACCGAAGCTACATCAACAGAGATTATACTTGCTGCCACTGCTCCTCATTTGATGTATTTCACTAAGACCCTATATACATTTTTTCCTCTGTAGTCTACAAGATCCATGGTCAGATACTGCTGACTCATTCTGGTAGATCTTCTTACTCCTGCTTTACTATTTTGCTTTCTCTTAGTAGCGACTATTAACCAGTTGACTTTGTTTTCAACAACTTTTCTTTTCAAAAAAAATTTTAAGTTTCCATCACTTTAATTTTTATTAGTGGAAATAAAAGGACAATCAAGAAAGAGACTTAACAGAACAGCCTAGACAAATTCACATTGTATGTTCTTTGAGGGCAAGAGCCCTTTGTTCACCTTCAAAATTTTAGTGACTAGCAGACTGACAAAAATATGTTTGTGGATTTAATGAATAAATTACATATACCCAGAACACTTAACTTACAAATTTTTCATAAACTCTTACTGTATGTACAAAGGCAATAAAAGGAGCTAAGCTAAAAAGACAGTTCTTGCCTTCAAGAGCTTCCACATAGGAAGAAAATTTGAACAAACAATTATTAATATAATAAAAGCTATAAAAGAGTTATACATAAAGAAATCTAAGGTAATATTATCTCTGTAGTGGCCACAAAGGCTATTTTGTGACAGAACACTAAACCTATCTCTTCATGATCATAGAAATTATACAAATGCTACCTTATGTTGCTTCCTATTGTGACTCTTGTCTCTGAGATTCCATGCAATAGCAGAAAAATATTAATAGCAGCAAAAAATATTTTATGAAACTCACATGAATTCTCCCATTATTGCAAAAGAAAAAAAAGTGAGAATTTAGTCCATTAATATATTTTATAACAAAAGTAAGTATGGTATAAAAAAGGCTCTTTTTAAAAAGTAATAAAACATCTTCTGCAGACCTGTGGAACATATTAAGGTTGTATAAGTAGTATCATTATAGTTAAAAAGAAGGGCAACTAAAATGTACCCATGTCCAAGGCATTGCTGGCAGTGGGTTGTATGCTACCAGCTAGGTTTCCTACGTTAGGTAGGAATATAGTGTCTGTAGAATGGGTCTCACCTATTAACTCCCTTATCAATTGGATGTCAGCATCTCTGTTGGTTATGCTGATAATCCACTGCCCTATACTATAAACAAAGAAATACGAGGCCGGGCGCGGTGGCTCAAGCCTGTAATCCCAGCACTTTGGGAGGCCGAGGTGGGTGGATCACGAGGTCAAGAGATCGAGACCATCCTGGTCAACATGGTGAAACCCCGTGTCTACTAAAAATACAAAACATTAGCTGGGCATGGTGGCACATGCCTGTAATCCCAGCTACTCAGGAGGCTGAGGCAGGAGAATTGCCTGAACCCAGGAGGCGGAGGTTGTGGTGAGCCGAGATCGTGCCATTGCACTCCAGCCTGGGTAACAAGAGCGAAACTCCGTCTCAAAAAAAAAGAAAAAGAAAAAAGAAATAAATATATCATTTATTAATATTTCCCATGAGAAAAAACATTTTAATGCAAACAATGATCATATATTTATATTTTTTAAATGAGGTAATAAGACAAGCCCTATCTTTATTAACAGAAGACAATGATAGGATCTATCCTAAACCTTGTTATTACCTAGTAGTAATAGCACTGCTCTAAGTCAAAAGGTAGTGAAATAATTCACTTATCTGTAGTGGAATTAGACCTGGCACACTATCAAGACTATCCAGGAATAGGCATCAGGCAAAGGTCTAAACACAGTGTTTAAAAGTTTACAACCAATTTTCCTGCATAATCATTATCAACATACTGCAGTCATTGGCATACTTACCACACTGACTGAATTTCTCTTTTAGTTTCTGCCAAGTCAAGTCAAAAGGTAGCTAGAATGAAAAGAGGTATTAGTAACATATATACAAGAAAAAAAAGAATTTCAATTATCCTTAATATTTATTTGCTTACATTTCTGACAAATATCTGGTTGCCTTTGGAGCCTATTCTGTCTCTCATTCCGCTTCCCATTGGACCCGATAAAAATCCTCGATCCATGTCGATGCTTCTTTCCAGTATAGCTCCTATACCTGGTCCCATTCTATCAAAGCTGGAACTCATCCGGTCCAGTCCCATCCCCATTCCTCCAGTCACACTGTTCATGCCACCCATTCCACCACCTGGATTTTCAAGAAAGGACAGGGAATTTGGGAATTTCATGTTTTTGTTTCAAAAACATAAGGAAAAGGGGAAGAGGAGAAAAGAGGAAAAGAAGAAGAGATAATCATTTTTGAGAAAGAAGGGGGAAAATTATTTGTATAATTAGATTATAAACATAAAAATATTTTAATACAGATAATATAACAACTTTCCAAAGACCAGCATTCACTTCAGAATACATTTGGTTAGCTTAGAAATTCTAGCCACTATATAAATACATTATACATATATAAATGTAAAATTTATATTCTGATCATAAAATATATAAATATATAAATCCTCTATCAATCACTGCTTCCAATAGCATGATAGTTGTTCACATCCTTATTTTTGTTTTCCAATAATATCAAGCATAATAATTGCTAGAATAAAGATACACAGAGATAAATTCAAATTACTACAACTCTAGCACTCAAGCTGCTTTCATCATACTCTCCTACAGGTAAATATTCCTTCCCTAGCTTAGCTTTCACCTCAGCGTCTTCACCTCTGTTTCCCATACAGTTTTTCTTCTCATGGTAATTCAATAATCATAGCAAAACATAATTTTTACTCTCAATATTATAAAGAACTTGTCAAAGGAACAACAAAAAAACACTCCCCATTTAGCCAGAGCTTGAGAATTTAACTCTGAGCTCATACCTACTTCATTCTTACCCACTGATGCTATTTTCTGTCCTTGTCAATTACTCCCATCTACTTATTATCAAAACTTTTTTCTAGTACTTAATATCCCCTAACATGGAAATTCTAAAAATTAACATCACCCTCAAATTGGCTTTCTGTAAATAACCAGTATAAAATCAGGGAAACAGAAGTATAAACACTGAGATAAAAGAGAAAGGTAGGAAAGTTAGGACTAACAGGAAATGGCTGTGGCTAAAAGATGATGCAAAAAGGAATAAAATGAGGAGCAAGATACAATAGAAGTAGATATCTTCAGCTGACAGGATTTTAGAATTTACTCGTAGAGTAGTTGTATTTCCTATTTGTGAAATTTCATCAATTAAAGGACGTCAATAAAATATGGAGAGTTCAGAGACATGGCCCACTAAGCAAAAGAGGTTAAAAATAATAATAATAAATAAGCCATGTGTTCAGGTTTAATATAAAGTCTAAAAGGTAGTAATGGAAATGGATGGGAGATTCAGCATTCCCTAGTGTTGCAAGTATTCTTGATGCTATTACGAGAAAGGTTCAAGAGGAAAATAAATAAGCACCTCTTTCGACCTTAGCCCTCAAGCTCATGAGGTGCCTAAAAGTGTTACATCTGCATTTACCAAAAGATATAGATATTTACAAAAAAAATAAGCTAGTCACTAATGGCTATTACAGAAAATAAGCAAGGAAACAAAGTTGGTGCTAAAGCAAAAGTTGTTCCTGACACAAGATCAGAGAAATCCCCAGATTCCTTAGTTGGAAAGAAGGTTCTTGGATTGACTGCTGGCACACAGTTTAGAAATATCAAAGAAGTAAAATTCAAACAGTTAATTCAGAAATTTCAAACAATAATCAAACAAAGTCTTTAACTATCAAGGTTTCTCAAATTATAGCAAGACACATTAACAAGTAAGAACAAAGTATTACTATACTACAATAACTACTCTTGCAAAGTCTTTGCAAGCACTCAAATATTACTGAATAAATTCTAGTAAAATTTAAACCTACTTATTCCAGATCCTACTGGACCCATGTTAGAAGCTCCTATTCTTCCTGCAAACCCTCCAATCATTGCACTGCCTAAACAAGGATGGAAAGATAATATACTAATTAATTTGAATAATCATACTTTAAAATTTCCAAGGTACTACGTGCTCCAATGTACAATAACTGAAAAGCATAAAGTCTTCTGAAAATAGAGTTCAAATATATAAGATGTTGAAAAAGAGAGCTAGCATATTAAAATCCTTAAAATGTTTTCTTCAGGTAATAAGTTGTATAAAACATTGTAATTTTCTGATGTTTCACAGAAAAAGAGAAACCAACTTTTGAAAATTAGAGCCTACAAAAAGAAGAGAAGTATGCAGCCAGCCCTACCAAGTCTACCAAAGGAATCTCCAAAGCCTCGATTTATTCCAATATCACCACGTCCAAAATCTCGCTCCATGCTACTAGTCATCGCACCACGGTACAGCTCTGAAAAAATTGTGCAACAAATTAACCCTTTTCAAATGTATCAGTGCATGATGAAAACATCAGGAATGTATCTAAACTATGAAAAAACAGCATTAAGTCACAAATACAAAATTGTCATTTACCCAACTTACCTCACATGCTATACATACCATCCCCATTCCCACCATGCCTATCTTTATCCCATAGTGCCTATATGCCTTCTGAAGACATTTTTAGCACCCATTCCTAAGTTACAGGGTGGAGATTTTAATAACAGGGAAAACTAAATGTGTGAACGCTTCCCATTGCATACATGTACCTACCTCCCATTCGGCCAACTCCTCCAAATCCTCCCATGCTATTCATTGCTTCCAGACCACCAAACCCTATTCCTATGGAATAAAGATTAATATTGAGATTCAACTGTCAGTCATATAGCTGAAAGATACATTTTGTAAATGTTAAATCTCACCAGTAAGCTTTTCATCCACCCCACCTTGTGCAGCTATTTCTTAATACATCACCTTCCTTTAAGTATGTACCAGGCTCAATTTCTGCTAGCAGCCTTTAGAACATGAGCCAACAATAAACCATGACTTTTTTTCATGGAATTCTCAACACAGTTTCTAGTTTATTAAAAATGGTGATGGGTACATACAAAAAAACAAATCTTTATACATACCTCCTCCAATTCTATTCATTCCTCCAAAACCTGGACCATCCATTCCCATACCTCAAATAAAATACACAGTATGTACTTTAAGTAAATTTTATTTTTATGACTAAAGAATGATATAATGCATTATAGCAAGATAGATACCACTGGTCTAACCACAATGAAACACTAGAGAAGCGGTGGGGTACAGGAGGCATGGTTTAAAGTGCTATGCCATAGGAGCTGTCTAATCATGAATCTTCAGAAAGGCTTCTAAGAACATTTATTAGACAAGAAAGCAAAATTCACTAGTAACACCCACAACATTCAGCTAGAAAATATCTAGAACTAGGTAATCATTTACTTTTTTCCACAATAAACACAGAAATATTAGTATCAATGATTTTTTTTTTTCCAGCACAGACACAGAAATATCACGACAGCACATTTAGAGATCAGGCCAGAATGTAAGGACTCCTCTAAACATGGCAGTTAAAGGAGTAGTATAAAATTTAAAATTATAAATAGTACATATTTAGGAGGTGGTAGGTAGGTGTGAGAGTCTAAGGATAAGGGAGAAAACGTGTTTGGATCAGAATGATTACCCCATAATGAGCCTCATAAAGTGTGACTACAGCATCTCAACAAAAATAGAAACCTGATAGCATGTATCAGTCTATCAATTAAAACAAGAATTCACAAAGAATGGTCCAGGGACTCTTTAGGGTTCAAAAGGTCAAAACTATTTAAGTCACCAAATACTACCAAGACATTATTTGACTGTTTTGCCACTGTTTCTCTTGAGTTTAAGATGTAATTTTCCAAAGACTATATGATACACAGTATCACAAAAAACTAAATGCAGAAACAAATATAACAGCATGGATGTCTAAAATTAAGCCAAACATTAAAAAGATGTGTGGAAAGGTAAAACAATGCCATCTCCTCACTAATTTCTTTTTTACATTGAAAAATAGTTTATTTTCTTATAGGTTTTATTTATATTAACATGTAATGAGTTTATTTTTTAATACATAATTTTTCTGCTTTCCAAGTTTTCATTTGTAATACATTTCATTTTTATTTCATTTATAGTATAATAAATACCAGTAAATACTGGTAATTATAACTATATAAACAAAAGCATTTGGGGGCTCTCAACAATTTTTAAGATATAAAATTAAAAGTCTGGGTCCTAACACCACAGTTGAAAAACCAGTCTCCAAAAATGAACTGTGAGTTCCTTCAGAGGACCAGCCAAATAACTACCTGAAAAGCCACCTTCCCAAATTTAAGTTGGCTATGATATTATAGCATTTCAGCCACTCCATAAATACTGTACATACATGACATATTCTCCTTCTGCCTTAAAGGCATTTCAAAATCAAAAGTGCTAAAAGGCTAGCTACAATACAGCTGGCCCCAAAGAAACCTTCCTGACTTTTGCCTGTTTAATGTTAGCTGCTCTCAAGGTTTCATTCCTTTTTCAGCCTGAAGTGACATCATAAATATCTAACTATTAATTAGAGTCCTTTAAACAGACCAGATCAATGGCTTTATTAGCTAGCATATGTATCATTTAAAAAGAAAAAAAGAAAGTTGGAATACTCACCACCTGGACCTAAATTTCCCATTACACCACCTATGTTCAGCTGGCTGGCACTAATAGGCTGTCCACCTGGACCAAGTCCCATTCCAATGCCTCCAAGACCACCTAAAACAAAAATGAGAACAATATTACCAAGATCCGTATATGATTAACTAATTGGCAAGAAAATTTTTTAAAAAGCCATATACCTGAAGTAGTATCCCTAAAATTTCTGCAAATTTGCACTGGTTCTTGCTTTTATCTAGAAAGTAGCACACTGAAGCCTGACTATAAAACCATTTATTAATGAGAAGTGTTTTATGATATGAAACATGATACAATATAAAGTACACCTTATATACCACTTAAAGGTACAATGAAAGGAATAATAAAATATCTAGAGGATTTTGAATATCATAGCACCTTATATATGACACACACATCTGAAAATAAGCATCTTGCCCAAATTTGCAGAACCACTTCAAATTTGAGAATTACTTTTTAAATGGTTCAAATAACAGTAAAAAGTAAATAAGCAGGAAAGCATAACGTTGCATAAAGCAAATATTACATTACCTAGTTTTCTCATGGCTATATTTATTTATAATATATGGCACCCTAAGTGTTTTAACATCTATTATTCATAGAAGAGGAAATTTTTGAGACGTTAGGTTGGTTGCATAATGACATGGAGCTGATTTTAAGACTTTGGTCTTTGTGGACAAACTGCACAACAAAGACATGTCTTAAAATCAACTACAGGAAGGACACAGGTGACTTATAAAGAAATGACGATTCACAAATAGTTGACTTAATAGCAACGGTATAAACCTAAAGACTGCAGAACACTTTTAAAGTGCTTAGAGAAAATAATTATCAATCTTAAACTATAAAACAAGTTAAACTATCTGTGAAGATGTTTAAAAACCAAAATTGAGATAATTTACTAATAAAAGATCCTCACTTTTTTTGAACTCCGGACCTCAAGTGATCAGCCCGCCTTGGCCTCCCAAAGTGCTGGGATAACAGGAGTGAGCTACTGCACCTGGCCCATAATGGTAATTTTTAAATACTCTAAAAAGTGACCCATCATAAAAATGCTCCATAGCAAAACCCATGTACTAGCTTTATAGTCATAACTGCTTATATTAGAAAAGAAAAGCTACCAATTTAAAGTAAGCATTCGACTTAAGGAGTTAGGACAAAAAAAAACTAAACCCAAAGAAATAGAAGGAAAAAACATAATAAATAAGGCTAAAAGCAGAAATTAAAAATACAAAACATCCAAATTCAGTTATTTGAATACACTATTAAAACTGACACATTTCTAACAAACTTAACCAAGAAAAAAGTAAAAAACGCAAACTCAGAATTTTTAAAACAGAACCATAGATGTAGAAAAATTTACTAAGAGATAATTGTATGCCAAAATATTTGAAAATGAACAAAAATAGAAAAATCCTTAGAAAAATAGAAATTACAAAAATTGACTCAAAAACAATAGAAAATATAAACCATCAGTAATTAACAACTTCCCAAAAACAATAGATGAAGGCCAGTTTTACACATAATTTCTAGCAAATATAAAGAGAATAGATAATTCTAATAAAAAAGAACAAATACTTTACAACTTAATACATAACTAAAAATTAACCTAAAAACAGAAAAATGTATAAAATGTGGTATCAGCAGTTAAAATGAAGAAACTAGAGCTACATCTATCAATATAAATGAATCTTCAAAACAATTTTAAACAAAAAAAGCAAGTTATATAATACATTATGATGTTACTCAAACAAAATTGTAAATCCAGCAAAACAATTCCCTATGTTTATGGTAGTATGGTAGATATGTGTAATCAAATTATTAAAAACTAAATAATAAATACTCTATTCATAAGTTGCTTCCTCTGGATAAGGCATAAGTTGAAAGATGGACAACAGAGATGGGGAAGCTCCATTTTACCTGTAAAATTTTATTTATTTTAAAGAAAAAAACTCTACAACAAATACGGCATGTAACTATATAAATAATTTTTTTATCTTATATTTAAGATTTCTTATAAGAACATTTTAAAAACCAGAGAAGGTGCAGTGAAATAGCAAAAGCAATAGCTAATATTTATTGAGTGCTTACATAATGCCAGAATGATTCTAAGTGGTTTACATATACTAATTCATGTAATACTCACGTCAACCCCATGAAGCAGACATTATTATTATCCCCACTTGTCAAATGAGGCACTGAGACAAAGATGCTAAGTGTATTACACTGTTATAATCATTTGGAAAACAATTTGATAATACTAATCAATGGGAATACCATTAGAACTGTAAATCTACTTCAGAATATCTGTATGAAGAAAGTACCCAAAACCATCACAAAGATTTGTGTACAAAAATGCATGTGTTACGATGTTGGTTACTCAAACAGAAATAAAAGTTCAAACACCTAAAATACAGAACAGTGAAATAGTTATAGAACATCTATCTGATAGACTATTATACTACCAATAAAACTATTTGAAAATAATTTTCAACATAAAAAATGCTTACACTCTAATGTTAAATAAAATACAATTCAAAATTATTTTTGTTCCCAACTATTTAAAAAATATACATACAAGGCTGGAGGAAAATACAGAAAAATGTTATAATGAAGTTACCCATAGATGATAAAATTACAGAGAGCTTTTTTTCCTTCAAGTGCATAAATTTACCAAACATTTTAGAACGTATTACTGATTATATAGTCAGGAAAAGTTACCAAAAAGAAAAAAAATAGGCACATAACATTTATCTTCTCAGTCTTCCTAATCAATAGCACCAAACTATCTTCATAACTCTAAACTAATCCCAAATTGTGATTATAGCAAATTTGATATATAGCAAATATAAAGAGAACAGATAATTCTAATTTAAAAGAGCAAATTTAAAAATTAGATGTAGGCATAAAAACAGAGTTTTGCTTAGCACATAATAAACCAAAAATGCCTATGATGTTTCTCATAATAGCGTTTACTTACGTGGTAATTGTGGTGTTTTACTATCATGTGAACGGTACTCTTCATGAGGAACAGACTTGTCATCCTAATTGCAAGAAAGTTTATAATATGGTTAATATATTATCACAAAGAACTGTAATGTAGAGGAGAGCCAGTAAGATTTGAAAAGGTTGGAGGTTGACGTGATATACAGGAACTCACCATTTTCACATGCATAGGTCTATCAAATAAAAACTGCCCATTAAACATAGCTGTTGTTGGTTCAGTCAAGGAAAGCCAGTTAAGATAACTATATAAAATTATATCAGAACACAAACTAATTTTTAATAACCTTAGAGTCCAACTATCTCTGATACTTTAACATCTTTAATACGTATTGGTATTAGCCACTTTCGTATACTCAGAAAAATATTCAATTCTTTGCTTTATTACTTCATTTCATCAGTAAGATATATTTTTTTGTATGAGATTATTTTTATTAGTATTTTTTAAAATACATTTCCATTGATACTACCAATATTTGAGTATTCCTCACCTTATGTTCAGATTACTGGAATGCATTTCCACCAGGTAATTTTTCCTTCAATCTTTTGTACCTCCAAACTAACTTATTAGTAACTTATATTTAAAATAATTAAAATTCCATTTTTAGCATATTATTCCTCTGATTGAAAGGAAAAAAAATTCACCATGGCACGTGTACACCTATGTAACAAACCTGCATGATCTGCACACGTACTCCAGAACATAAAGTATAATAAATAAGAAAAAAGAAATTTAATTTTTTGTTACAATAAAATTTCTTTATATTTTTAATTGTACTTTAGGCTCTGGGGTACGTGTGCAGATCATGCAGGATTGTTGCATAGGTACATACATGGCAATGTGGTTTGCTGCCTCCATTCCCCTGTCACCTATATCTGGCATATCTCCCCATATTATCCCTCCCCAACCTCCCCACGCCCTGTGGTCTCTCCCCTAGTCCCCTCCAACAGATCCCAGTGTGTGATGCACCCCTCCCTGTGTCCATGTTTTTTCATTGTTCAACACCCGCCTATGAGTGAGAATATGTGGTGTTTGATTTTCTGTTCTTCTGTCAGTTTGCTGAGAATGATGGTTATTTTTAATTCAACCACTGAAAAAAGTAAACTCGTAAGGCTTCACTTAAATTAACTGCATTAATATACAATAGATTACACAATTGTTAAATGCACGTACACAATTAATTATGGTAAAAAGAGAGGGAAGAAAAAACTTCATACTAGCCTTGTACAATATGGCTAATTCAAGTTTTAAGAGTGACTTGAGTACTTGTACCTAGTCAGGGTTTTATTTGCTGGAGGCTAAAGTCTAACATACATCTCTAAGACAGGCACAGGCAACCTTAAATTCAATTACCACCCTCAACCCCGCCTCCCGCCAAAAAAATAGTATTAAGCTTTTTCAACCTCACAAACAATGCTAAAATGTCAGGATACAAATTGCTTGAACTGCTTCAATTGCTTGCTCAAAAGTGACAGTGCCCATTCCTCTGCTCTTGCCATCTTTGTCTTCTTTAATATCTGCCCGCTTTACAGTTCCAGCTATGCTGAACACTTCCTTTAGCTTCTTCCAACCAACTTTGAAGTCAAGCTTTATATAAAATTGTATAAAGTTACATATCTAATAAATCCCTCTCCCCATCTGTAAATACAAAAGAACATCTTAAAACCATAAAGCACCGTAAGCCTAGTTCAACAATACATCAATAATGCTCAAATTTAAAAACATCTTCAGTTGTTTAAAATCATTAAGCTACATCAACATTGTTCCTTATCCTCTTTTTTAAATTTCTAAAATCATCTCTCAACTGCTCAAACCTGTTTTGAAACTTGCACATCTATTTTTACCAAGAGAAATCCAGATTTTGAAAAGCATTGTTTTCACTGACTTTCAAATGCTTAGAACAAATGACAAACAACTATGACATGCATATTCACAAATATCAAGGCTACAAAAAAGAAATCCATTTACAAATATAAACTGAAACACATATAATTTAATTTCAAGAACTGCTTGAATGTGTATAAATTGCACAGATCCATGTTTAAAAAATCCAAATCCTTGTATTTAAACTCTAACCTTGTATATGTGTATATATATATGCATGTATGCATATATATATACATCAGTTGGGTTTGAGTTTCACTTACTTTAGTTAAAAATAAGCAAAATGTTTTATGAACCTTTAACTCATTCATCTAATCAAATTATCTAATTATCTCTCTGAATGACCAATTTTAGACTAAAGCTTCAACTTACATTGGCAACAAAAATTGTGGAACCAAGTCTACCGGCCTGCAAATTACTGATGACCTCAGGAGGAATGTTGGGATTATTGAGAATGGAAGGTGGTAAATTCATCAACCCTGATCCCATATCAGGGACATGTCCTCCTGGAAATGATCCTCCTGTTCGTTGCAATGCCCTACGAGCATTTTCTCCATCAGGATCCTATAACATACATCGAATGTTAAATTCTACTAAATACATCAGTAATTCTATATAACTAAAATAACAAGTTAAATTCTCAGTAGCAATCCTATCGGGCTCAAATTATTGATCCTCTTCAAGATTGAGATTTTTTTCTCATCCAGAGAATTGAGTCCCATAAAAACCTGTGGGTAGACAAAAGATTTAAGTCTTCAGAGATGTCATTTAAATAATTTTTTCTGATCACTAAAGTCATTTAAGAATTTGAAATTAGTTTAATTTTGCTTTCACATTAGTGTACAAGTATATATACACATAACTCAAAGAAGAGTGAAGTACTCACTGTGACTTTTCTTTCCAAAATGTAGGAATTTTCACTACTGGATGACCAATGGAATGCCAAATTCAGACTAATTCAAAGCTTTTCAATAGTTGAACAAACTGTTATAAAGCCCAAATATCAGGGTGGAAGACAGGATGACTGATTGTAATCTGTAAATTTTATTCCTGAACAAATACAATTATCCACCTTCTAAATTCTTGCCTTCCTCAACAATGATTATAATCTGAGACGGGGGAGGGGAGAGATAAAGGGAGGCTAAGTGTCCAAGTGAGGAATGATAATAAACATTGTTTTTTGTTAGGTTAATTTTGTAAGAGATACACCCTACCTTTAAACAAAACCAAAGAGACAGACACAGACACAGACACACACACACATACACATACACACACACACACACACACACACATAAATGTACTTCTCACTCATCCCACTAGATGAATACAAATAACAAAAATAAATTAACAAAAACCACATAAACACATTGATAGACTATCATCTGCAATGCCAAATGATTGCTAAAGGTAAACATCATTATCACTTCTCCATCTTTAGGCTAAGATCAAGTGCAAAGGTAACCATCAAATCTACTTTGCTGGCCTCAGTCTGGGAATACTGTACTAATTTTTAAAAAGTTACATGACTTTAATAAATTATTTAGGATGACTGGAGGATAAAAGGTGAAAAGGTAAATGAAACAATAAAACCATTCTGGCTTCCAACATATTTCTTCAATATGAAGGAATAAAAAGGATTACAAAAGAAAAAAATGTATCAGAGAATGCTTCAAAATGTTTAAGTTAATAAATAATAAATTATTTAGGTCTAAGGATTAAAAAGAGGTAGAAATACAAAATTAGGATAGTGGTTACCTATGGGGAAAAAAGATAACACAGAAGAGGTTTTTTGAACTATTACAGTAAGATATTTTGGTTGTCTGTGCTTATAACATTAACAAGGTGTATTGCTGTTTTGATCTGTCTTTTATACACACATGACAGAAATATATGCACCTACAATACATGCACACATGTATAAAACATATATAAAATAAAATTTATATAAAACAAACCACCTACTATATAACACGACTTTCATTCTTCTTTTCCCCTTGCTATAATCCTGCTGGTCACTGACTGCTATTGTTTTTGGAGGGTGTATAGTAGCAGTTTATAACTGATACTATTCTGAGTTTAATTAAATGAAAAAAATATAATTCTAAAGACTGTTAAGGAACACTGGAAATATACTTTCCTTAGACTTACACCACAGTAGCACTTCTAAGCATTCATTCCATCCACCCATCTATAAATCAGATATTCCAGGAAAGGGAATATCAAAGTGACATTAATCCCAAAAAGTCAACTGAATAAATCCCTCATCATTTAGCTAGGCCAAATTAAGCCTTTTTCTTTCCTCTTAAAAAAGTTGAAAATGGCGGCATCCTCTACCAATTTGGATTATATAACTCTAGGGTCTCTGAAATATTACTGAGGATCTACAATGCGCCAATGTGCTTTAACTTAAAAGAACACAATAACATGGCCTTGACATTTAGCATCCAATAGACTTTTTTTCCAACAAAAGAAAAAAAAATACTAAAATCTGTAGTACCTATCCTTTGAAGAGAAAAAAAAATAAAACAAAATTATTAGATTGGTGCAAAAGTAAATGCAGTTTTTGCCATTACTTTTAATTCAAAGCTTTTTTAATGGCAAAAACTGCATTTAGTTTTGCACCAATCTAATACAATCCTCAAAATAATCATTCAGATTATTATAATTTAAAGAAAATTAAGATACCAGCACATTTCTGAAGCACTGGCCCTGGCTTATGCATAAAAACCACCAAATAAACGACTGACACAAATCACGACAGTCAAAATTTTCTCTACCAATTCTATATATTCCTGTCAATAATTTTTTAAAATAATAACCCCCAGACTCCAAGAGGATTAGAATAATTTGGAAGCAGACTCAAAGGAATCTGGGATACATGTTACATGTTGGTAGCATGGCCTTTAATTTCAAGCTATTCTCACTCTCAGGAACAAGAGACTCGTGGACAGGAATAACAATCGTTATTATTACGGCTAACATATATTAGGTAGTTACAATATTTTGAGCACTGTGCTTAGTGCTCTGTATAATCATAACATCACAAGTATAATAAATAGCTAACATTAAATGGTTTATATTTATTAACTCTTCGAGTCCCAATAGCACTATGAGATTGGTACTATCATTCTTCCCATCTTACCAATAAGAAAACAAACAAGAAAGGTTAAGTAATTTGCCCTGAGTTACAGATGTTCTCTGATGCCAGAGCCTAAGTTCTTTACCATGTATCTCATTTAATCCTCAGAAAAATCTTATTAGGTAAATACAAGCACATTTCATTTTATTGTGTTGTACTTTATTGCACTTTGCAGATACTGCACTTTTTGCAAATTGAAGATTCGTGGCAATCTCGTGTCCAGCAAGTCTGTCAGCACCATTTTCCCAACATGTGCTCACTTTGTGTCTCTGTATCACATTTTGGTAATTCATGCAATATCTCAACCTTCTTCATTATTATCTGTTATGGTGATCTGTGATCAGTGATCTTTGATGTTTTTATTGTTTTAAGGTGCCATCCATCATGCCCAAATAAAACAGCAAACTTAATCAATAAATGTTCTGACCCCTCCACCAACCAGCCATTCCCCATCTTTCTCCCTTGCCTCAGGCATCCCTCTTCTGAGATATAACAATATTGAAATAAGGCCACTTAATAACCCTACAATGGCTTCTAAGTGTTCAAGTAAAAGAAAGAGCTGCAAATCTCTCACTTTTAATCAAAAGCTAGATATGATTAAGCTTAGTGAGGAAGGCATATCAAAAGTTCAGACAGGTGAAAAGCAGGGCCTCTTGCATCAAAGTTCCTGAAGAAAATTTAAAGTGCTACTCCAGTGAACACACGAATGATGAGAAAGTGAAACAGCCTTAATCATGTTTCAAAAACAGGTAAAAACACAAAATTTAAGATACTGGTTACCTTTGGGAAAGAAGGATAACGCAGTTGAGAAGGTGCTTCTTGAACTATTAAGATATTTCAGTTGTTTGTGCTTGTAACATTTCAGTAGTCTGAAAGTTTCAGTGGTCTGAACAGAAGATCAAAGCAGCCTCATCATTACCTTAAGCCAAAGCCTAATCCAGAGTAAAGCCTTAATGCTCTTCAATTCTACGAAGGCTGAGAGAGGTGAGAAAGCTGCAGAAGAAAAGTCTGAAGCTGGTTCTTCAGATTTAAGGAAAAAGCGATCTCTATAACATAAAAGTGCAAGTAAAGCAACAAGTGCTGATGTAGAAGCTACAGCATGTTATCCATATCTAGCTAAGATCGTTGATGAAGGTGGCTACACTAAAAAATAGATTTTTATGTAGATGAAACAGTTTTCTAGAGGAGGAAGATGCCATCTAGGACTTTCAGACTTAGAAAACAGAAGTCAGTGTTTGGCTTCAAAGCTTCAACAGACAGACTGACTCCTTCATTAGGGGCTAATGCAACTGGTGACCTTAAGTTGATTTGAAGCCATGCTTACCATTCTGGAAATCCTAGGGCCCTAACTATTAGGCTAAATCTACTCTGTCTGTGCCCTATAAATGAAATAACAAAGCCTAGATGACATCACGTCTGTTTATAGAATGGTTTGCCAAATATTTTATTTCCACTGTTGAGACCTATTGCTCAAAATAATTCCTTTCAAAATATTACTGCTCATTGACAATGTACTTGTCATCCAAGAGTGTTAAAGAAGATATGCAAGAAACTAACATTCGCAGGCCTATTAACACAATATCCATTCTGTAACCCATGAATAAAGACATAATTTTAACTTTCAAGTCTGATTATTTAAGAAATACAATTCATAACGTTATTGCTGTCATAGACAGTGATTTGTTTGATAGATATGGGCAAAGTAAATTAAAAACCTTCTGGAAAGAATGCGCCATTCTAGATGTCATTAAGAACATCTGTGATTCATAAGAGAAGGTCAAAATATCAATATTAACAGGAGTTTGGAATAAATGTATTCTAATCCTAATGCATGGCTTTGAGGGTTTCAAGACTTAAATGGCAGAAGTAAACGAAGATGTGGTGGACAGAGCAAGAAAATGAGAAGTGGATCCTGAAGATGTAACTAAATTGCTGCAATCTCATGATAAAACCTGAACGAATTAGGAGTTACTTCCTGGCTAAACAAAGAAAGTGGTTTCTTGAGATGGAAGCTACACCTAGTGCATAGGCTATGAACACTGTTGATATGACAACAAAGGATTTAGAATATTACATAAATTTAGTTGACTAAGCAGCAGCAGGTTTGAGAGAACTGACTTCAATTCTGAAGGAAGTTCTACTGTGGGTAAAATGCTATCACACAGCATCACATGCTTCAAGAGAAATCTTTAAGGAAAGGAAGAGCCAATTGATACAGCAAACTTCATTGTTGTCTTATGTTAAGAAACTGTGACAGCCACCCCAAACTTCAGCAACCACTATCCTGATCAGGCAGCAGTCATCAACACTGAAAAAAGACTCTCCACCAGCAAAAAGATTACAATGAAAACTCAAATAATCACTAGCATTTTCAGCAATAAAGTATTTTTAAATTAAGGCATGTATGTTGTGCTTTTAGACATAATGTTATTGCACACTTCAAATAGAATACAGTATAGAATAAACATAACTTTTATGTGTACTGCAAAACCAAAACGTATGTGTGACACACTTTATTGTGATATTCCCTTTATTACAGTAGTCTGGAACTAAACCTACAATATCTCAAAGCTATGCCTCTATTATTAGTAGTACTACTACAGTTATTTAGGTTTAGAGAAATGAAGTAGCATGTCTACACACACCACTAGAAAGTGATGGAACCAGGAATCAAATCATTACTATACTATTAAATGCCATGGCTAACTGATAGTACTGCTCCACAACCAATGATTAACATCAGTATTAGTATAGAATCTTCAGTTTCCCAAAGTTACACTAGCTATCTCTTTTAACACAGACTTTAGCAAGGATATGTTCGTAACAGGTCTGTAATTAGACTATTAAGATCAACAATCCAAAAAATAAAGGAACACATGAAGATGAGTGCTATTCAAGCCAATCATTCTCAAAGTTAAACTGTAAAATTTTTTGTATCTTCTAGTCATTTTCTGTCAACCTATTTACACTGCTACAATTCTGTACAAAGAGGACATTTCCATTTTAGGGGATTCAAACTTCTAGTTACAAATTTCACTAACAGAGTTATAATTTTTATGAATTTTTAATCTAGTATAGTTTGCAAGTAATATTCATAAAAAGTGAATATCAATTTTACATTATTAAGTGATCTTTAATTATCAATTACAAAAATATTGTGTTTCTCAAATTAACGAAATCTAAAAATTGTGAAAATGTCTGTACCAAATAAACTCAGCACCTAAAGTTTATCCCCTTTGAATTTCTAGGTCCTGAATTTTTTTTTTAATTATGTGCTTCCATTTTTAACAACTTGGAACAAATCAAATATAGGATAACTGCTTAAGAGTAAATATAAAATCATGTACAAGTAAAACTATCATCAATATATAATGCGTTAATAACCACCTATGCTTAAAAACAACATTGTAGTCAGGCAAATATATTAACAAAACTGAAAATCCAAGGAAATCATGTCCTTCTAGTCAAATGTTTAAATTCCAAATATAAGAAATCTTACCTCTTTAATATTCAGGGGTCTTCCACTAAGATCATATTTGTTCATAGTTTCCAGGGCTTTCTTTACAAATTCTTCGTCTTTGAATTCAACCACACTTAATAGGGAAAAAAATTATAGGAAATGTTTATCTACTAATTTTTTTCCAATCAAAGTTTAATTTGACTTAAAATACTTAAAGAAAAAATTTCTTACCCACAACCCTATATCCAGGTAGATTTGTCAAAATATGCAAAAGAAAAAAAAGTTTTAGATCAGTACATGAAGTTAATAAATTTTAACATTTCAATCATTAAAAGCAATTAATAATATGGTACAATCACTTTTCATCTTTTATACTTCCAGAACATAACAGGCAAGTGACCATAAAGTTTCTATAAATTTTTTAATGTATCTACTGAAGATAGGAGAATCTAGCATGTAACAAGCTTGGAGCATATTTTTTACTTTTAGGTGACTTTTCTTTAAGTTAAAACTAATGTCACTGTACAAATTATATCAACAGGAAATCAGGGAAATAACTAAAGGCTCCAATATACCTATTCTTACATAGTTACAAATATTTTCAAAAGATGTGTCATCTACAACATATTTTTCAACTCTATTAAAATCAATACAGCAAATAAATATTAATTTTATTTTTAACAAGTTTTCTATTAGATTAAAACTACCTTCACATTTAACAGCACCCAGTTGGAAGTATATAAAAATCATCTATAAACTAATAATAAATTAATTTGGAGAGTTATTTTAAAGAATAATTCCCTGTGATTGCCACTCAAAATCCCATTTGAATATGATTACAAGTTTTTATTCATCATGCACCCAACTGGTTTTACTAACATAAAATTAAACACTGTTAAGAGTTTTCCATTGTATTCTTCAATATATTGCATTCTTGCTGCTAAAAATCAAAATATACTATCAACCAATTCCTTCTATGTCAATATAATCATAAATGTCATTCATACCAATTGGTCAGAGCACTGCCTCTTATGTAGTCCTGCAGGCTACCAAATTTAGCTTTACAGTAAAGTTTCAAAAATACATTCTGACCTAACACCTTTAAGCTATAGGCTCCTCAAAAAACTCAGGAATATTAACAATTCAGTGACTTTTAAAGTATCCTTGAAGACATCTAAATACAACAAAAAAAATCCTATATTAAAATCTTATTGGCTAAGAAGAAGTATTACCTTAGAGCATTGGAAAAGTGAATACCCTTTTTGAGTATTTTCAAAACCCATCCCTTCCAGGCAGCTAGGTTTGTAAAACTGTCACACTTGCTGGTAAAGAGCCTCAAATCTTGCATAATAAAGTAAAACAAAATGAAACTTAAGTTTCCAAAAACTGGTACAAGTATTATACAAAAAGTAAACTGCTGAGGAACTTTTAAACCTCAAGCAGATTATTGCCCACAGCACTTACCCTTGATTTTCCTTCCGCATCCTTAAAGAGCTCCACGTATGTAACCTCACCAACTACATAAGACATACAAAAGGAAGATACCAAGAAACAATACATTTAAACACCAATATCTTGCTTTACTGCACACCTGTGCACAACTCTACAGAGAAGCACCTATTATTCACCAACAATCAAAACCAGACCAACATACCTCCTATCAATGGCTATGTAAATTTAACTGATTTTCAGAAATGTACATCATCCACATTCTCTAGAAAAAGCTAACAACCCTATTAACCTAATTCATACTACAGATCATATTTTGGCCAGCATGATATAGTTGGTGAACAAATGCACATATACATACAAATGGTCCCTTAGCCTATCATATTAAAAAACTTCAACATTAGCACTTTTCAAATAACTTTGGTCAGCCTACACACAACAGCTGTTTTAAGGTGACTTTCTACCTGAATGTCTTCAATCATGTTTGCCATCAGTAAACTAAATTTACAAATCATGCGTCACAGCAAGCCACACACTTTCTAAATAAAGTCAATGAATAAAACCAATCAAATAGTTGTCACCTTACAACAGATACACCAATGCAATTTTTTAAAAAATTTATTAGAAGAGATCAGCCTCAAAACCAAGTACATAGTTTGCAGGACTGTTGAAACTCAATTTTTCAAGAGATAACAAAACTAACTTTTACAAGATCAAGTATTAAAATTATTTTTCCCCAAAACCAACCATGTATATAAGATGAAGGTTTTCAGATTATTCTGAAAACAAAATTGCAACAGTAGTAATGCAATTTTAATTTAGAACTGCAAAGACAGCATCATGGCAGTCATGACAAGGCAAACAAAATAAATTCCACAGCCAGATTCCAGACTCCACCAAGATAATAACAAAACAGCTTTTGGAAAAAAAATAAATAATCAGACCTTATTATTCATTCTTTAACAAGCTAAATGTATTGCTTAACTAATGCAATAGCTCTTTTAAAATCTATAAAAACTTCAACTAGACAAAGCAATCACTTTAACGAAATTCTTGGTGGCATGCATATGCTGGCTCGATACTATCCCACCAAAATGGCAAAAAGAAAAATATCCATACTACCTTGTAATGAAATTGTGTCAAGTGAAAGAAGAAGAAAAGATTAATTCACATGTCAAGGAATAAAAATCAATTTTTTGAGTCTGTGTGGCTCAGAGGAATAAAAACGTTTGTGTAGTTCCCTCCCCTGTCTATATGAAGACTATCCAACAGTGGGTTATTTCAGAGATAGTTACCTTTCTCTCTCATTAGATCTTTAATAGCTTGCCATTTCATGTCATATGGGATGTTGCTAATGAAAACTCTGTTTCGATTTGGACCCTTCTTTTCTCCAGTGCCCGAATTCTTGTCTTTTGAATAAGGATGAAATCTATTGGCCTTCTTACTTCCTGTAGATTTTTCCTTTAAGTCAGATTTCTCTTCTTTCACTGATTCATCATTCTCCCTGTGAATTTTAAAAAATCAACCAAATAAAAACCCTCAGTTGTACTTCTAAGAATGGAAGTCTATATTAAATAAATATTTCATATTTATCACTTCATAAAACCTTCCACTAAGCTAGACCTCAGCAAAGTAGCTGGAGAATCAGTCTGAGAACTTTGAAATTACCCAGTGCCATTTTGAAGCAAGAGTTTGAGTTCTCATTTAACAGTCCTCATTTTTTTCCACATTAAATAGTTGTAAGCATCCAATCAATCACCTAGTTTTTCCTGTCACACTACTTACTTAATAAATGCTATTAGACTGGAATAGAGGGGAGAGCAGATAATTTTACCTCTAAGGTATCTAAAACTGCCGCCTTTAGTGGAGAACTAACTTTCTGGGCATCATTCAAAATTTTTTAAAAAACTAACTTACACAATGATACTCTGAAAAAGTTCATCTCTTAAAGATTAATAGTTTCTTCCCAGAACGTTCTCCTTCCTTAATTAGAAGCATAATTAAAATACAAACTTATGTCTATATATTCACATCTATATACATATATGTTCAAATTACAGCTCTCAAACTTTTTTCTATTCCCAATTTTGATCAACATAGAAAATTTATAAAATATCCTAATAGTTTATGTTACATTTTAACCTATAAACTAGAATAGGTTACTTCATCAAATTATGCAGTTTCATTAATAATATTACCGAGAATGGGTAATGTGGGAGAGAAGCAGTGCACAAAAGCAATGTAAGCCAAAAGTTTATAAACCTGATTTTTAATGAGGACTTAACTAGAAAAAATTTTAATTTATAACACTGTAATCACAATGCAACTCTATGATGTCATATGCCAACCATCCAAAAGATGTAGGCATCCACTTAAACCCTATAGATAAAAATCCGAATTTATATTTTAAAATGCAATTTACTTTTCAAGATGAGTCTTTTTTACAAAACAAATAATAGATTTTTTTTTTTTTTTTTAGATAGAGTCTCATTCTGTCTCAGGCTGAAGTACAGTGACGAGACCTCGGCTCACTGCAACCTCTGCCTCCCGGGTTCAAGTAATTGTCCTGCCTCAGCCTCCCAAGTAACTGGGATTACAGGTATGCACCACCACACTCAGCTATTTTTTGTATTTTTAGTAAAGACAGGGTTTCACTATGCTGGCCAGGCTCGTCTCAAACTCCTGACCTCAAGTGATCCACCGGCCTCAGCCTCCCAAAGTGCTGGGATTACAGGCATGAGCTACCATACCCAGTCAATAGGTTTCTTTTAAATAAGTAAGTGCTCTAGTCAATTTAAAACTATTTTAATATTAAAACTTCCATTTTAAAGCAATTTTTCACAAAAAAAAATACTAATAAAACCACTGGGGATGACACCTAGCAATCTAAATTTTTTTTAAGCTTTCTGGATTATTCTGACAACAAACCAAGTTTAATGAGCCAAGTTCTAAATAGTCTTCTAAACCAAGCAATTCTGTTGATCCATACATTGCAATGCTCCACACATACCTCTAACTTTAGCAGTTATTTGTTACATAATACAGTGAACTTCATGAACACTACTCTTCTTTGTAGGTAACACAGACACAAATACAGTATGTAAACTCTATGAGAACAAAAACTATATGCTTTGACATCTATGAGAGCAAAAACTATCTGCTTTGGTATCAGCAGCACCTCAAATAGTGAATGCGTATAACACTGTGCTGTAATTTTTGAATGAATTAACAGTCAATAAAGAGGGATAACATCAGGAGAAATACCTAATATAGATGACGGGAGGATGGATGCAGCAAACCACCATGGCATGTGTATACCTATGTAACAATCCTGCACAATCTGCACATGTACCCCATAACTTAAAGTATATTTAAAAAAAGAACTCAATGAAAAAAAAAAAAAGGAATCCATACTCATCTGAGCACAGATGTTGCCAGAAAAACTGCTAGAATAAAGAAAGAGACATTTGGGTCAAACTTGCTCTGCCATCTTTTTTTTAAGACCTTGAAAGGGACATCTTCACTATCAAACATATTCCTTCATCAGAAATGGCATAGCCTAGCGAGGAGTCTTCTGAACTGTCTAACTCTAGAAAGTACCTACCTGTCTGAACAGACTGGCACTTTTGAAAATGGCAGTAAGCAGCCAAAAGGCACAAAGGCCTTTTCTCTGGTTTCTGGGTACAGCAGATGGAAGAACAAACCTTTCTTTTCAATTTCCCAAAGGGCCTGTTTATATAATAGGCTTAGATGAATTCATTGAATGTTTGTAAAGTAACTAAGACTCTATTCAGTAAGAAGATAGCTATATAGTCTCTAGATAAATACCCCTTCCCCTGACTATTTTCTTCCTGGATTAAACCAATTGTGAAAATTACACAAAGTTCTGAAGTACTTAACAATGTTCTACGCTTGACTTGGGTGAGATTACATAGATGTTGTAAATATTTGCTTACAACAATCTGAAAATTCCATTAAAAAACAGTAACTTTATATATAATATCTTCTTTAAAATATTTCCTCAAAGATGATCAGAGAAAGCAATTTCTTCATTTTCCCCAGTTAGAAGCATCTTAAAAATAATGCTAACTGCTCATCTATGATGTACAAATTAAAATTTATCTTGTTTCTTCCCAGTGTATAAAAAAAAGAAAAAAATTATAAAAGTTATACCAGTTTAGAGGCTACAAGGATGATCTAATTATTAAGAAACTGAGCCATAATTATTTAATTTCTGAACTATTTCTAAGTCATAAATACTTTGGAAGAGAAAGTAAAAATACATATGAAAACTCTTAAGGAAATGATACAACAAAATTCCAAAATACTGGTACTACATTCAGAATTCCATCCACTAAATTCCCAAACTATTCATTTACACAACCACTTTTATAATGTACCTAAAAACTCTAGAATAGCCAGAAAAATGTTATCTACTCTTAAAATCAAATATGCCTATCTAAATTATAACATAAATTTTTGAAAAAAATCAACATCCAACATCAAAAGAAGAAATTCACTTTTAATGTGTGATTTTAAAAGTACAATGGTGTAGTCTGAGATCCAATATTAATTCTAGTTCCAGAGGAAAACTACCAGAGGGCAGTTCAGAGCAATAAATGCCTACATTAAGAAACATAAGACCTCCAAACCAAGTGCGGTGGATCACACCTGTAATCCCAGCACTATGGGAAGCCAAGGCAGGTGGATCACTTGAGGTCAGGAGTACGAGACCAGCCTGGCCAACATGGTGAAACCCGTCTCTACTAAAAATACAAAAATTAGCCAGGCGTAGTGATGCATGCCTGTAATCCCAGCTACACAGGAGGCTGAGGCAAAGGAATCACTTGAATCTGGGAGGCAAAAGGTACAGTAAGCCAAGATCACACTATTGTCCTTTTTTTTTTTAAATAGAGCAAGACTCTGTCTCAAAAATGAAAAAAAGAAGATCTCCAACAACCTAACCTTATACCTCAGGGAACCAGAAAAAATAACTAAGTCCAAAGTTAGTAGAAAAAAGAAAGTAACAAAAACAAGGCAAAAATAAATGAAGTATACTAGAAAAACCATAGAAAAGATCAATAAAACTAAGAGTTGGTTTTTGAAAAAACAAGCAAAACTGACAAAAGATTAAGCTAGACTAAGAGGGAAAAAGAACAGTCAAATCAAAGAAGAAAAAATATATTACAAAATCAAAGAGGAGACATTATAACAGATACCACAGAAATACAGAGGATCATAAGAAATTACTATCACCAATTATACACCAACAAATTGTTATATTTAGAAGAAATTGATAAATTCCTGGAAGCATACAACTCACCAAGACCGAATCATGAAAAATGAGAAAATCTAAACAGTCCAATAACAAAGGAGATAGAGACAGTAATCAAAAATCTCCCAACAAAGAAAAGCCCAGGACCTGATAACTTCACTGGTAAATTCTACCAAACATTTAAGAACTAATACCAATGCTGCTCAAACTCTTCCAAAAAAAACTAAACATGAGGAAATTCTTTCAAATTATTTGATAAGGCCAAGATTACCCTCATAACAAAGCCAGACAAGGATCCTACAAGAAAAGAAAATTACAGGCAACAGCCCTGATGAACACAGATGAAAAATTCTCAACAAAATACTAGCAAGCTAAATTCAATAGCACATTAGAAGGATCACACACCATAATCAAGTGTTATCTATCCCAGGGATACAAGGATGACATACATACATCAATAAATGTTACATACCACATTAACAGAACGAAGAATTTTTAAAAATCAAATGATCATCTCAATAGATCCAGAAAAAGCTTTTGACAAAATTCAACAGCCTTTCAAGATAAAAACTATCAACAAATTTAGTACAGAAGGAATGCTCCTCAACACAATAAAGGTCATATATGACAATCCCATAGCTAATGTCATACTTAACAATGAAGGAATGCTCCTCAACACAATAAAGGTCTATATGACAATCCCATAGCTAATGTCATACTTAACAGAGAAAAGTTGAAGGCTTTACCTCTAAGAGCAGGAAAAAGAGATGTCCATGCTTACCACTTCTATTCAACATTGTACTAAAGGTCACAGTCAGAGCAATTAGGCAAATAAAAAGCAACCAAATTGGAGAGAAAGAAGTAAAATTATCTCTGTTTGCAGAAGATGTGATCTTATACAGAAAATTATTCAGAGAAAATTTTAAAGACACCACAAAAAAAACTATTAGAATAAATTCAGTTATAGGATACAAAGTCAAAAGTTATAGGATACAAAGTCAACATTCAGAAATCCATTGCATATCTACACACTAATAATGAACTATCTAAAAAGATAACACGATTTCATTTAAAATAGCATCAAAAAGAATAAAATATATAGAAATAAATTTAACCAAGTAAGCTAAAGAGCTATACACTGAAAACCTATGAAACAATGATGAAAGAAACTGAAAATAATACAAATGAAAGATATTCCATGTTCACAGATCAGAGGAATTAATATTCTCAAAATGTCCTTTCTACTCAAAATGACCTTGTGATCTCTATCAAAATTCAAGATCACTATCAAAATTGTCACGGCATTTTTCACAGAAATGGGAAAATTCCTGAAGTCCGTATGAACTATAAAAGATCTCAAACAGCTAAAGCAATCTTGAACAAGAAGATAAAGCTAAAAGCATCACACTACCTGATTGAAGTTACATTACAAATTTACAGTACTGGCAGAAAAACAGACACTTTTGACTGTATGTTCATTCCAGACCAATGAACATAACAGAACACTCAAAAATACATCCCCAAGTATATGGTAAACTAATCTTTGACAAAGGCACCAAAAATATACAATGGAGAAAGGACAGTCTCTTCAAAAAATTGTATTGGTAAAACTAGATATCCACATAAACCAAAAAACACATGTAGTTACATGGTTTTAGGTGTTCTGTTTTAAATTTTTAATCCATTTTCTCCTAGAAGAAAATGCAAGAGAAAAGCTCCATGACCCTGATCTTGGCAATGATTTTTTTTTTTTTTATGTGACACCAAACAAAAACTATATGCTTTGACATCTATGAGAGCAAAAACTATCTGCTTTGGTATCAGCAGCACCTCAAATAGTGAATGCATGTAACACTGTGCTGTAATTTTTGAATGAATTAACAGTCAATAAAGAGGGATAACATCAGGAGAAATACCTAATATAGATGACGGGAGGATGGATGCAGCAAACCACCATGGCATGTGTATACCTATGTAACAATCCTGCACAATCTGCACATGTACCCCATAACTTAAAGTATATTTAAAAAAAGAACTCAATGAAAAAAAGGACAGTCTCTTCAAAAAATTGTATTGGTAAAACTAGATACCCACATAAACCAAAAAACACATGTAGTTACATGGTTTTAGGTGTTCTGTTTTAAATTTTTAATCCATTTTCTCCTAGAAGAAAACACAAGAGAAAAGCTCCATGACCCTGGTCTTGGCAATGATTTTTTTTTTTTATGTGACACCAAAAGTACAGACAACACAAAAGTAAACCATTGGGACTATATCAAAGTAAAAAGTTATTGCACAGCAAAGGAAACAATCAACAAAATAAAAAGGCAACTTAAGCAATGAGAGAAAACATTTGCAAAACATATATTTGATAAAGGATTAATATTAAAAATGCATAAGGCACTCATACAACTCAATAGCAACCCAAATGAAAAAATGAGAAAAGGACCCAAATAGACATTTTTCCAAAGACATACCAGTGGCCAAAAGGTATATGAAAAAGTGCTCAATACCACTAATCATCAGGGAAATACAACTCAAAACCACAATATCACTTCATACCTGTTAGGATAACTATTATCAAAAAGTCAAAAGATAACAAGTATTGCTGAGGATGTGGAGAAAGAACCCTTAGATACTGCTGTGGGAATATACATTGGTACAGACATCATGAAAAACAACATCAAGGGTCCCCAAAAAATTAAAAACAGAACTACCATATGATTTATCAATGCCACATCTAGGCATACAACCAAGGAAAATATCTCAAAGAGATATGTGCACTCCCATATTCACTGCATCATTCACAATAGCCAAGACATGGAAACAACCTAAGTGCCCACTGACAGATAAATGGTTAAGGAAAACATGAAACATATTATCTGTTGTATATATACAACACATCCACACTGGAATATTATTATTCAGCCATACAAAAAGAACAAAATCTTGCCATTTGTAACAACAGAGATAAACCTAAAGGACATTATGCTAAGTGAAAAAAGCCAGACGCAGAGAGATAAACACTGCATGATCTCCCTTATACACAGACTCTAAACATGTCAAACTCGGAAGCAGAGAGTAGAAGGGTGTTTACCAGAGGTGAAGGGCAGCAGGGGATAGAGAGATATGCTAAGGACACAAACTTTCAGTTACAAGATGAGTAAGTTCTTTAGATCTAAGGTACAGTATAGTGGCTATAGTTAACGTAATGTATTTACTGTATACTTGAAATTTACTTAGAGAGTAGATCTTAAGTATTTGCAACACCAAAAAATATGGTAATTATGTGGGGTAATGGGTATGTTATTTAGCTTGATTGTGGCAATCATTTCACAATTTATTTGTATACCAAAACATCACATTGTACACTTTAAAATATACAATTTTCTTCAATTTACCTCAATAAAGCTGGGGCGTAAAAATCAAGCCCAGTTCTAGTCTTTGTTCCTAATATGATAAATATCACTCAGTTAAAGAACACATTACCTTGCTCCAATGCTTAGTATTTTATAGTACCCTAATATAACTCTCAATCTCTATACACTCAAAAGTTTTAATTAATTACACATGATTAATGAAGTTATAAAAACACTGCTCTTTTCCCTCCTATTCATTTTGAAGAAAAGGACAGCTAGTATAACACTTGGCATTAAAAAAGAAGACTATAGCTAGGAAACAGATCTTTTCTAAAGGTTTGAATAAGCAAACTAAATTCTCTGTATATAAGTTTCATAAGCATAAAAGTTCACTTCTGCAATTCTTCAACAAACATTTACTAGGCCTTAAGAACACAAAGAAGAGTAAGACATAGTAGTCTCCCACCCTCAGTAACCATGGATTAACATCAGCAAATGTTATTTCAATCCTGATGACAAGCAGTACTCTGTTCGATTCCAAGCAATATATGATTTAGGGCAATATTATGGTAATTTTCATAATCGACAATGAATTATTTTTATTAAAAGCATAGAGTAATCAACCCAAGGTTTATGTATTGGGGTTATCCAATCCTAATAGTTCACAAAGTCAAAAAAAAAAAAAAAAAACATCTAGGTCCCTTAGTTATTCAGTTTGAATGACCCATGCTGGACCATAATATATGTTCTTATGGAATAGACAGTACAAGAAATCCCTGAGAGTAAACCGGACTCAAGTCAATTTCTAGAAAAAGAGAAAGGGAAAGAGGTGAATTATAAGCAATATGGAAATAATCTGTATTTACCAGTAATATTTGTTCATTTCCTCACCTTATATTTTTCTCTTCCAAAATTAAAAAAGGATTCTTTCTCAACCTTTCTCCTCTCTTTTTTTCAGTCTTGCTAAATGACAATGAAACTTTACAAGGGACTGGAGAATCTGATGGAGGTTTAGATACCAAACTTCCCCTATATTAACACTAATCATACCCAAGTTTAGGAGGGCTTCTCTCTGTAATTCAGGGCTGCACTTTTTGTTCAGGAGAAAAGGTGGCATGTACACTCATGTTTAAATATGAACTAATGGCACATATTTTTAAGTTTATCATTCCACCATTTTTCATTTCTATTTTTAATGCCATATCCCCGAAAGCCCACATTTTTTACAAGCATGGTAGAAAGCGTTTCATTCGCTTTCTGGTTCCTCAAGTACTGAAGCGCACCACTTTCCATCCAGGAACAAACTCCACTAAGTTCCAATCTCTTATACCTGCACCTCTATTCTAAAAGCTGCTGCTGATCATATTCAAACTCATTTGAGAGCAAGAGCGTCACAGAGCTGGGGAGAGCTACCCCATGTTATCTGCCACCAACTGGTCCAGGTTTTACAATACTGTTTCAAACATTTTTATGCAAAGGTCAGAAAAACTTTTTTCCCTTGCCTATTTTACTGTGAGCCTATGTCTATTGCTTTCTGCTCTGAGGCATAAGAGAGAGGGAAAAGGATGTTTTCACTAAATTATTAACTTTCAACTTCAGGTTTAAGGAGGTAGGCATATGAAAGTAAGCACTTAACTTCATCTCCTCCCACAGGACAAGAACAAAGGGGAGCATAACATTTCCCTAGAGCTAGAAATTATTATGGATTGGGGTCAACTAAATTCCTTATAGGCCCTGATGACAGCTGCAACCTTAAAAGTTTTCCTTCATTTAGGGGAAAAAAAAAAATCTTAACCATCTATTATACCAAATTTAAGATAATCGCACACTGAGTTTAAAAAAAAAATACTCTGCACAGCTGACGCACATTATCCAGTGGGAAGGGAAGTCACCCGCATCACACATTTCCCTTTTTAAAGTACGTCTAGCCACTTCCAGAGTAACACAATGGATACAGTCTAACAGCACATTATTAAACTTCCTCTCGCTAAAAACCAGTTTAAAAATGAACATACACTTTAGAAAGCAACAAAACACTAAACTTGTGAATCTCAGGAAGAAGCCAGGGATATTCCTTCTAAATACGTTCTCGGTGGCTAAGAGGAAATGTCCGATGATGTCATCCCTAGATACTCTCTAGTGATGAACACTAACTACTGGCCCTTAGAAGGGGACCATTTTCTTGCAAACCGTGGCGGTCGCCGAGCTTTGCTCAAAGGTTCTTTCAAGTCAGGGAAGAGGGGGTGTCCGCTGTCCCGGGCTAGAAACCAGGGAGGCGCGCCGGTCCCCGGGTCCCCAGCCCAAGCTCCCGGGGCCGCAGGCGGCCAGGCCCGGGGCGGGCGGGGAAGGGCCTGGGAGCGGCCCAGCTGCACCTGCTCTTCGTGCAACCGATGGATGGCCAGGGGCAGGCGGGGGCGGCGTGGGGTGGGGGGGGCGGTTGTCCCCCATCAAGGCTCAGCCCCGCCCCTGACCCCCGGGCTGACTCCCCGCTCCCCGTCTCGCCCCGGTCCCCGGAGGAAAAGACAATACATTTTAACGCCATTGGAGCTGCTGCTGTGCTGCGGCTGCTGCTTCTCCGCCTCCGGGGGGTGCGGCTCTCGCCGCGGCTCGCCCGGCGGCTCCGTGGGCTGCAGGTGCGGGCTGTCGCCGCCAGTGGCCCCGGGCACCTCGGCCTTGTCGGCGTCCGCCATCCCACCGCCGCTGCCTCCGCCTCGGCCGCCTGCGCTAAGGGGCTCCGAACGCGACAATGGCGGCTGCCGGGGAAGCGGTAACGGATCCCGATTTGAAAAGGCCCCGAGCGCTCAGTAGCCCGGATCTCGCGAGAACCGATCGAGACTGGGCGACTGGGAGATGGTGTGTGCGGGGTGCGGGGGGTGGGGGTGCGGGGGGAGGGGCGCCTCGGGGGCGGGGGTCAGGGCCGCCGTGGCCGCAGCCAGCCCTGCACCTGCCTGGGGAGGGCCGGACCCGTCCTGAAGCCCCCGGTGGTGGTGCCATGCCTGCCCACCAGCCTGCCTGTCGCTTGGCACCAGTGGAGTCTTCGCTTGCAAAGCGGGATTAGACACCAGGCTCTAAAATCCAGACTCTTCTGTTCATTCCTGGTAGGGACAGTTAAAGAAGAACACACCCCTTTGCATCTTTCAAGACTTCTTGTTAAGTCCTCAGACTTCCTTTAGAAATCCTTTGAAAGAAGCAAATAAGTCTCTTGCCACTTCAATGCCTAGGCACCCTGCAGATATTCCATAAATAGTTATTGATGACTGATTGCGATTCACCAAAATAAATGCCTCTGAATTTCTTTGAGGATTATTTGTTCTCGGGGTCAGGATCTCCTAGGAACTCAGCTATCAGCTTAGTAAAAGCAGACTGCAGTTTTTCTCTGGACATCTATCAATGGGGGAATCTATAATTATAAAACATCATCAACTAGACTGGCTAATAATGGATATTTGAGGTTTTGATGATGTGTTTATTGTATACTCATGGAAATTCTATGTGAAGTAGTTATAGGCTCTCAAATTTGTCATACAGGGTTTTAAAATATAGTCGTAGATTTTTCCCCAAGTATGAAAAGGAAACCCGTTAAATTCAATCAACTCCTGACTCTTGAGTACTATAATATTTCACGTTGACATAACCTTTTTCAGCTGAAAAGTTAAAATGCCTTCCCAAATGATTCTTTTCATAAAGAAGCAAACATGTTCGGTTTACTCACTTTGTAGAATATCATACACATAGTTAGAAAGTAATACTCAAATAATATATCATTTCATCTTCAGCTTTTCGATATGTAGGTTCCTGCCCTCTACCAAGAAATGCCATAAAACATCCAATCCTCTGCTTGAAGAGTTCAGCTACTTCATCACACACACACATACACAGTCAGGACATGTTAATGATGAGAATGCTATTGTAGTTGCTGTATAAATTGTGTCTCATTCAACTCCAGATTTAAGATTTTTAACAGCAGAAAGGGCATTCAATTGTGATGGACAAAATCTGGGTTAGAACCCCAGATCTGCCTCTTCTTGCCCATAACTCCCTGGGCAAATCACCTCACTTCTCAATCTCTCCACAATAAATAAGGATAGCAATACTGACCTTATAGGACTGAGGTGAGGATTAAAAGAAAGCCCTTTATGTAGGAAAAAGTTCTATATGAACATAATGTAATATTACAATTCTCTATCTCCCTAAGCTCAGCAGGGTTTTAGTGAAAGACAAGCCAAGTGATTTTTTGCACAGTGCTAAATTATAAGTACTTTCAAAATAGTCATCATTCTGTTATTCTTTGGCTATAGTTGAATTTAGTGATTGAACCCCACCATCACTAGAGCAATATAGTCTCACAAAAATCCTTTAATCAACTCAATGCAAGATTTTTTTTAAGAGGCCTTTATGCTTAAAACAGAGTAGTAGGCATGTGAGGAATACGAAAATGAGTACAGCACTGTTGGGAGAGGACGATCATAAAAAGCACTATTTGAGTACTGTAATACAGATAAAAGCAAAGCATAATTTAAAATTTATTTACAGAAACAGGAGACTGGCCTGCATGCCTTAGTTTGCCAATTTAAATATTCCATTAAAATATTTATCTTGATTACTGAGTTTTAAATTTTGTACCCAAGACAAACACCTCACCCACTGTAGCTTAGTCCTAGTCTTGATAAACGCATGAAGAGCAGAGGTTAATTCCTACTGAGAGATTGGTGAAGGCCTTATATAAGAGCTGGATCTTAAAAGACAGAAAGAATTAGGGCGACTTCTGAAGGAAGAGAATGATTAATCTTTACAATTCCATCTGACTGCTCTATAGACTGATCTTTCCTTCCTTTCTTGCTATTAATTGCAAAACGTAAAAAAAAAAACTATTAATATTCTGTTGCTGAATTCCATTTCTGTATTTTCTTCCTATTTTTTGTGCATGTAGGTACATTGAAAAATTCTTAAGTAATGCTCAAATTCTTATTTTCCCATAATTCACATTACAATAGTATTATCCTTTGCAATTGCACAAAATACGTCACTGGTACGACCTCACATAATCAGTTATATTTCTAACAAATTGGAATGCATGTTTGTATGTGTGTATGTGGCAGGGTAAGGAAAAGGTTATTACACATATCTAGAAATTTAATCCTAAAAATCACAAAATATTTTAATTAATACCTTAATACATGTATCATCTAGGAATTGTGTTCATCTGGTAGTAACAGTAACTAAAAATAATAGTGTCTTCAGCAAGATAAGACATTTTTACATGTCTTAAGAAATGCAGAGGGAGCATCCCACAAGATGTGTAGTAGCTTCAGAGTCATCAAGGTTTCAGGTTCCTGCTACCTTACTCTTTCACCATCCTAGTGTGAGGCTTCTATTATTAAGGTAGCCCTCTGACTCAAAATGGCTGCTGGAGATTGAGGCACCTTGTCTGCCTTGTAGTTCTGAAGCAGCCCAGAAAAGAAGGAACCTATCCAGAAGTCTCACACAACACTTCCACTTATGGGCCAGAACTTAGTCACATGACACACTCAGCCATGGTGAAGGTTGACAAATAATCCAGGAGCTGGGCTTACTGTCCTGGGTTCTATTACCAGTGAAGAAGAGACTAGAGTAGCAACGTCATCATTCATTTTTGTTTTGTTTTGTTTTGTTTTTTGTCTTTAAGAATGAAAAGGCAAGTACCAACAATATGAAGTAATGAAAAGTATCGTATAATTTTTAAGTCAATTTGCTTCACTATACAAATTGAATAGCTGGATTTGAGGGCATGAAATTTCTAAACCTTACAAAGTAAAAAGTTATATTTTTAAAGCTTAAAAAGGATTTTGTAACTTTTTTAAAAACTATGGATTGTATTTGAAATCTACATATGTATTTCTCTTTTTATAAAAAGTTCACTATTGATGAAAACGTAGACATTGGTTACTATCAAATAGGAAGAAAAATTTAATCTTATTCTGACAATTAGCTACTTACCATTCTCTCCCTTTTTCTCTTTTCCTCCTTCTTTCTCTCTTTCCCTCCCCATCTCTCTATCACCCCCATACACCCTCATTATACCACAACTCTACTTACTTTAGGAGTCCATTTTCTTTTAGCATTTAGCTTTCCAAAAATATATCCTATAGAAAAGTCTCTACTTAGCTAGCTAAGTGAAGTTTAGAATTAAAACAATTATCTGAATAATTCAGGCAGAAAGTCCACTTTTACCTCAATTCTTCAAATAATTCAGATAATACCAAGGGTTTTGGTAGACTTCCTTAGATAATTGTTTTATTTTTCAACTTTACAGTCCTGGGGTAATTGTTTAATGACAGAATTACTTCTGATTTTTGTAAACAATATTGGGACATATTTTTTCTTTGCAGACTAAAGACTTCTGTAATTCCCAGATCTTTGAGTCTCATTTTTAATCATTTTCTAATTTCTCAATTTAAATCACCCTGTGTTTTCCTCAATCTCACTCCAGTAACTCCATCAAAAAATTTATCAGAAGAGCAAATTCCCAGGAGCCCTACCCTGCTTTCCTTCCTGTAGGCATAGCCACTCCCTCCTGTTAATAATTCCATGAATAGGGCTTACTCTATCCAAAGCCATGGATATTATATGGCAATGTTTTTAAATATCCTTGATTTGGTATCCTAAATCTTTTTTTTTTTTTTCAAGGTGGAGTCTCACCATGTCACCCAGGTTGGAGTGCAGTGGCACAATCTGGGTTCACTGCAACTTCCACCTCCCATGTTCAGGTTATTCTCCTGCCTCATCCTCCCTAGTAGCTGAGATTATAGGTGCTGGCCACTGCTCCCAGCTAATTTTTATATTTTTAGTAGAGACAGGGTTTCACCATGTTGGCCAGGCTAGTCTCAAACTCCTCACCTCAGGTGATCCACCCACCTTGGCCTCCCAAAATTCTGAGATTACAGGAGTGAGCCATCGTGCCAGGCCCTAACTCAGTATTAATGAAATGATTGTTTCATATCAGAAATTGTTTTCAATTTAAGTAATTACCCTTTTTAGGCACATCATTCTTAATTTTCAATTACAACATTTGGAAGAGAAAATAGAATTCTTAGAGTGATGAATTATAAGGTTCAATCCATGTGCATATTTGAAGATAATCCTATAAATGATGATAATAGAGATAACTGACATAATCCATCTTCCACTTATTTGACAATAGAAAATTTTTATTTATAGTAGCTGTAAATTTTATTTTATAAAATAAAATTTTCTAGCCACACTTACAGCTACATGCACCCATGTGGCTATGTTCTGGCCAATAAGATATAAACAGAAATGTTGAAAGGACCATGTAGAAGTTTCCATGAAAGAAACTGACTTAGTGAGAAGAATGACCCTTTTGTCCTCTATTGTCTCCTCCTGCTGCTAGCTTGAAGTGGGGCAGTGATATCTATAAACAACAACAACCCTATTACACCATGGATTGTAAGCTGAGTGGTAAGGATGGTAGAACAGATATGTGAAATTCAGATCTCTGATGGCCACGAAGTGACAATAACAATCCTGACATTCCTAACCCTAAACTTGTTTCCAAGAGGAAGAAATACATTTCTATCCTGATAAATTGCTGCTATTTGGGCTATTTCTATTAAATATGCCTGAATACAATCCTGATGACTTTTTAATTTAAAAGACTCATTTGCTTCAATCATTTTTGTACATTTGGCAATAAAAACACTACTTTAAAAATATTTTTCTGAAGACATCATTTATATTGGCTTTTGTTTTCTCTTTTTCTTTAGGCTGTATAACACTGAAAAGTTTTTTTAATCTGATTTTCATTCTCCCTTTTT